CTTTCCCCAGGGGAGATTTTAGCTAGATCGAAAAGAACAATTGCATGCTTGTCATCATGAATAACATCGTTATCAGAAACAGTTATTTCCAGGATGTTCTGGAAAAGAGATGGAAAATGAACAATTCGTTAGAAAGTAACCAAGAGACATGATGTTCTGCACCTCTTCCAAGTTTAACATATGCTTTTAATAGAGGCAATATAAAAGTACTGATGAGAAACTCACAAGGAAGAGAAAGAAAATGAGTATAATCTCATTTACAAGAAACAGAATATAGTCTTGTCAGTTAAGGCTGAGGTGAGATTTCTTTCAGGTCATCGTTTTTGCTTGCCAGTAACTCTCTCAAATAATGTAACCTTAAATAGAGGTAACTTCATATTAAAAACTTTCAAGGCCACCTTTCTGTGTTTTTCTTGGGCCTTACACTTTCAGCATCTGTGTTTGACAAGCATTTGGGTGTAGTGTCATTAGCAGTACCAGACTGAATAAAGATCTTAATCATACTAGAATTTAGTATGCCATTATTTCATGACCTCTCAGTGGAAAATGTGTTCTGCTGTCATAATGGTACTTCACTGTTTTATTTCATTGTTCCTCTGTATTGCCACTCGTTTGTCCCACCCATCTTCTGCAAGGATATCAGGCTGATATTACTGATAAACAAATAAGTATCCTTTAGGAGAGAAGTAGATCCCAGAAAAAGCCAGAATTGTTTCACTCCAACTTGCTAGTGGAATTTTCAGTAAACCCTGCAAGGCTTTAGAAGACCTAAGATCCTGCTAACATCCTAGCATCAGTCTAAACTGAAAGAAGCGGCACACAGATGAGATGGAGAAGAGAGGTCTTGGTTTAATTGCCTACCTTGACTTGTCTCTGTATCCAGAAAAAGAAAGTTTCATTCCACACTGGATTTGTGCAGTTTTTGATAGCTTTGGTCTGGAACTTTTGGTCCGAAGCAGTTGGCAACCAGAGGCTCACGTAGCAATCAGGTTGACTTACTACAGAAATATAGGTACAAAATATCTGGCAGTGGAACTAGAACACAGGAGACTAAGGCACTGAAGTGCACTATAGTTTGAATACGGAAAAGATACGGCCAGTTCTTTCTGGCATACATAGGCCAGAACAGGAAGGTAGAAATCACACAGCCTGATAAAATTAAGTTGTTGTTCATCATCATAACGTTATTTTAATAAGCAGAGTATTTGAATAACTGCACAGCCTTACATGTTATTAAATAAAATGCTAGTAGACAGCGTAATACTGATAGCAAGAAGTTCCATATTGCCCCTTATCAATATTGTTTCTTCTCTCTGTTTGGCAGGGGGAGAAATTTGCCATGTAAAGATCTGTTTACATTTGGCCACCTTATCAGCCTTCAAAAAAATTGTGAATACTATAATGTATTTGCTAGACCTTCATATCCAAACCACCTACATTCTGCATACCCTAGTGTGAGACTCACTGAGGCTGTTACTTGGAGCTCTGGGCTTCCGTGTCAGGCATCGCAGCTGAAAGTACAACAGTCCTTCACCTAAAATCAGGGACATCCTATGCTATGCTGCTAGTCCCAAAAAGTGAGGAGGAGCAGGGAATTGTCCAATTTGAATACAGAGAAGGCAACATTTGGAACCAGGTGAGGAAGCAAGGAAGTGTCATGGGACAAGGACTATGTGGGGAATGCCCTGGAGCTGGCTTGCAGGGAAAGACCATAGAACTGGGAGTTGAGAGAAAACTGCCACTGACATAGCAGAGAATGAGATCCTCAGATCCTGAGAGGAATGGAGTGTAAATAATCTTTAAGCCAAGAATGGGCCACTGGATCATCAAGTTGGACCTTGAAGGGCACGAGCACCGGATCTTCCAGCCTGGCAGTAGGAGTAAGCGAAGAAAGATGAGTTTCAGGTGACACAGAGGTCATATGGAAGGAAAAGAAGGTACTAGGCCCAGTAGAGGAACCAGCTGAGGAAACTGGGACCATTATATTGGTTTATGGATGAGACAGAAGCAAACTTAATCCTGACATTTCCTAATTTTGCTTTATTTTGTAACTATTAATGTCAGGATTTTGTGTGTGTATAATACCGACACATGGTACCTATATTTAGAGAAAAGCATATTCTAAGCTTGTTTGCAATTTAGAAAATTGACTTCCTGAATACTCCTTTCTGTGTCTACAACTTAGCTTTATGAGAAATCTTAAAAGAATTAGGGTTTGAGTTTGATTCAGATAATAAACGCCTAACATAACCAGCTGGTTATTAACCCTTCACAAGTGAAAATGAGTTATCCTTCCTACCTAGAGTGTTGTCTCCTTAGGTGGGGAGAAGGGGTAGGGGTAGGAAGAGAGAGACCTACTAGCAATCTGATTACCCCTTCAGGAGGTCAGTAGGTAGCTGGATCCTTTTCCTGGTATTTGCTGAAGCCTGAAAGAAATCTGGAAGCCATTTCCTACTCCCTCTTTCTTCCCAGGAGAAAAGAAGTGGCAAGAAGTATTTAGATCTTGTGGATGGACTGAACCTGCATTTACAATTAGGCATCAGTCCCCATATATTGTGAGCCAAGCAAACGCCAAAGAACCTCTCAGACCTTGAACAGGAACTTTTTTCCAAGGCTAAAAGAAGGGCTGATCCACCCTGTTGTGTAAAACAGGCCTTGGTGCAGGAAAGAGAGGAAGGGGAGAAGTCCGATCCCTTAGCAATCAGTAGAGCCACCTACCTCATGGGGAGAGGGCTGAGCACTTAATTTCTGTAAACACAGCCTAAATTCTTGAGTGAGTTCCTCAAGATGGTAGATTAGTCCCCTACTGATAAACGGTTGTAAGTCACTTTTAACCCACTGAAGCTAGCAGAGAAATGGTGTGTGGGAGGAGAGGAGGCATGGTCTAATAATTTCAGGTGTTCGCAAAAGGCCATGGGCCACTTAGCTGCTCCGGTCGCTGAGCAGGCTGTGACGCAGTCAGAATTACAGACAGAATGTACCATGTTTTTGGGTTTCTGGCTGTGTAGGGTGTGCGAAGAACACCTTCCAAGAGTTTTGCTGTAACTGCAAAGCCCAATTTTTTTATTTCATTTCTCTTTTTCTTTTTGAAAAGTGAGATGCTCTAGTCTTTTTTTAAAATTCCAGATTTCAAATATATAGCAAGATTAATGATAAAACTGAGAAAGCTGACAAGGCTGAAAGTCTGAGCTGAGCATGAATGAACAGCCACAGCATTTATGAATCTCTTTTGTTACTGTTTTCTCTGGCATTTTCTCATTTGCTAGAGTGTTTTCTCTGACAAAACATTTCATGAGGCCACTTTCTCAAATGATTTTTTCCATGAGTCTTCCTTTCATAAATATTTACTTAAAAATTAAGTTATTGCCTTGGGCTTGGATCCTCTGTTGTACAAGGAGAGGCTGAGAGAGCTGGGACTGTTCAGCCTCAAGGCTAAAGGTTCCAGGGGATCTTATCAATGTCTATAAATAGTTGATAGGGACAGTAAAGCATATGAAGCCAAACTCTTCTCAGGGGTGCCCAGTGAAAGGACAAAAGAGGAAACAGACATAGATGGAAATACAGAAAATTCCATTTAAACGTAAAAAGAAACTTTTTTATTGTGAGGACGGGTCAAACACTGGAATGGGTTACCCAGAGAGGTTGTGGGTCTCCATCCTTGGAGACGTTCAAAACCTGACTGGACACAACCCTGAGCAGTGTGCTGCAGGTGACCCTGCTCAGAGCAGAGGGTTGGAGTAGAGGGTCTCCAGAGGTCCCTCCAACCTCAACCATTCTGTGAGTCTGTGTGTGATTCTGTGACAGCAGGGCCAGCTGGACAAAGATAAATTACATGCAATTGTTAGTAACTATTTGGTGCAAATTTGACCTTCAAGATGAGGTGAGGTGAAACCACTAGGACGAGGAACGTCTGCTTCCCATGAAGAAAGGAAACTATGCCAGATGTGTTTGTACCATAATTCATCTACAGTGCGTACTGATGGGAAGAAGAATTTATTGTATCCCATAAAAATCTTGCTATTTCCTGTATTTTCCTTGTATTGTACAGACAGTACCAGCTGTTCCCCATGCTGTGACTCTAACTGAACTTATATGATTATGTAGAAGAAGTGGCAGTGCACATGAAGCCAGCCTAAGCTATGAGGCAAATAGCAGGATGGATCAAAAATACCAAGATAGCGGGATGTCTGCTGAAGATGATGATACCCTTATCACATGGGAGCATTTGAAATGAGTAACTAGCTTTTTTGCTTCCCCTTATCCCTGCAAAAAAGCATGCAGAATAGCCTGTGAAAATCTTTCAGTTTATTCATTGCTACTTGGGAGCTAATTAAAGAGTTACATTTGTGTTTCCCTCATGCTCAGATTGTAATGCAATAGTGTGGCTGGGCATCATTTGCAATTTCATGCCATGTCAGGCCCTTACATCAGCACGCAGTGTTGCAATTTCATTCCCTAATGAATGACATTGCCCTGCATGGATGCTGAGATCTCATAACTCTCAGCCCCTCTGAAACTGGCAGCCTCCTCCGTTTCTCAGCTTCTTCTGATTCAATTGCGTTTGTGTGATGATGGGAATATTGCTCATTTCTGTCTTCAAATTAAAGACAGGTGAAACATTCAGAACTGAACCTAAAAGTTCAGAACTGCATCCAGCTATTTGCTGCACTGTGAGAGTTTAGTCCTGTGACATGTTCCTACAATAAACCATCATACACTGAAATCACTCATGTCCGTCACGTATAAAAAGAAAATTACAGCACTGAAAAAAAGCATATAAGAAAAACAAGTCTTGTAAGAACAATGAATGTAAATAACCATTAAAAAAGATCTGCTCCTGTTACTGCAGTTCAATATGGCAAAAAGAAAAAAAAACAAACATTTCTTCTAGTGGATTCCTCTCTACCTAGACTGACAGGTTCTCCTTGAATGCTAGTTTACTATGGCTTACCTAAGAGGAGGAGGAGAGTCACTCCCATTACTCAGTCATCAAATATAGTCTTCAAGGACATTTTTTCCTCACCAACATAGTAGAAGGCAAACAGTACTAACAAGTTACCTCCAGCTGCCATCTATTTGAGAGCCTATCTGAATTGAGCGCTGTCCTTTACAGGCAACCAGAAGCAACACTCATCTGTAAGAGTGATACCAGTCTCCACAGCTTGCTTGTAGAAATAACGAAGGCTCATGGATCTACCATGTGTTATTAGCGATGTCCTTCACCAGGAACGGATAGAGTCCCCGCACGAATTAGCCCTCTACCCTTTCCAGCCATTAAAGCCAGGCAGCACAGCTGGGTTTGCTCTCTGGGGCACAGACTTGGCAGGTGCAGTATCTCCTGCAGTCACAGAGGGAAGGAAGCTTTTGTGCCCCAGGTAGGCTTTATCTCCCGCTCCACTGACATCACTTGCACTCCTAGAATGGGAGTATCTATGAGTATCACACCTGTGTGGTAGGAACAGAAGAGAAGTTGGTGGGAAGTGGAAGACAAAAATTCCCACTGAGTTCTCCAGGAAGTGCATGATTGCTCAGTGCTCTGTCACATTTTTTAAGTTATAACGACCAATATAAAACAGAAATGCACATGTATTCTCCCTAATTTCTGTGCATTTGATTGATTATTTTCCCTGGCAAAAATAATCCCTACTGTCTTCAGAGAGCCACTCTAATTTGTAAACACTGTGACCCCAGGCACATTATCCCCAAACCGAGGTGTGTCTTCTGAACAGATAGGATGACAGTGTCCACAAAATAATATCTCCAGCTGGGAGAGGAGAAGAGCCCTCTCCTCCTTTATAATTATACAAAATTTCACTTCATCCAAAGCCTTCCCAAAAACAAAAGGAAAGATAAAGGGATTATGATTTTTTGACCCTCCAGCTCCAACAAACAGGTATCCTTTTACAGGTGAGCCAGCTAATGGCAGCCTTCAGCACAAATCTGGAGAAAGATTCACATTTACCTCTGATTTTTTATAGAGATGTTTAATTGCATCACACCCTATCCCAGATTCTACAGGCACCTGATTTCTGTAATTGGAGAGCGTACCCAGTAAGTAGAGTCATAGTCACATTTCAGCCTCCCAAGATTTCACCTAGGCTTATCTCAGCTCTGACAGCTGCGTCTTGGAGATCTCACTATCCACAGCCTCCTAAACTGATAGCACAATACCCAGCAGAGAAGCTGCTGTCCCTGGGAAGAAATAACCTGTCAATCTATTCATTCCAAATAATTTCTTATTAGGACACATAGCCCAAATTCATCTCTGCAATCCAGGGTGTTGCAAACACTCAGTACTAGTTAAGTTGAGCATATAAAGCCAGACCTGACACACCCCCTCTTTACCCGTGTTATGTTACTAAGCCATAAAGTGCTGTGCAGCAGCAAAGGTCAGCTCTTGCTATGTCTTATCAGCGGATATCCGTGTCATCCACCACAGTTCCAGAGAATCATATGTTACAAAGACCTCTTTATTTAGGTTTTGGGGGTTATGCAATATCCAGTAGAGTTCCAACAGAGATTTGCTCTTTTGCCTTGTATTAAATCATAGACCCATGTTGGAGACAGATTTCCACTGGGCAGTTCCCTGAATCAGTGACCAGTGAGCTCTAGCAGCCTCCAGGCCCTTGCAGGCCAGCAGGGAGGTCACATCACTCCAGGATTGTGTCACTCGTGCTCCCCGAGACCCCAAGAGAGGTCTGCTTCCTCTCATGGTGTCACGTGGTTCTTCCCCTCTCTTGGCGCTGCAACTTTAGACATGCTAGGTGAGGCAGATGCAGTCATCAACCATATATTTGCTCACAGGGGTGGGGGGAGGTTCAGCTATCACTGGACTTTAGGTACTGCCATGAAATAGAGAATAAATGCTAATGGCGGTGAAGGTGGACTAGGCTGCGTGCAACTCCACGTGGCCACAGTCACTTGTACGTATAAGGAGAGCAGCTTTAAAGTATGATAGAACATGTGCCACCATGCTCTTCCTTTCACTTGGCTTGGCTCCTTCCTCTTCCTTTCTGGGAAACAGATACACTAGAGGAGATGTTAGCAGCAAGGAAAAAGGCTAATGCACCATTACCGCCTTAGTCTAGCCAGATATTCCTCTTATGCATATGGAATCATCTAGGGAGAAGTTATGCCATGAATGGAGCCAGGGAACAAGAGCTTTTATAAAAGCCTCTGGCTCTCATTTGAAACAGCTGCCTTTTCCATGCTCCCTGAGGTGAAATGTTTCTGGTGGCTTTCCTCACCACCTCTCCCTGCAGGCAAACCGAGCCCTCATTCTGCCCTCCCCACCTCTGCCAGGCAGGAGGCACAAGTGAAATTCTCTTCTCCCACACCCCAAATAGCCCCAAAAAATCATTCTGCCTTCTGCCCAAGATTGTGCGGAGTCTTGGGAATAAGGAGGAGATACCACTGCAAAGCAGGCACAAGACTGTGAAAGTCCCATAAATATCACCTAAATTGCTTGCATATTTCCCCAGTGTAACTGTGCACACATATTAGAGCATGGTGATGGCACTCATTGCCTGCAAGACAGCAGGATGAGTAAAAGAGATCTAAGATCTTATCTTAGTGCCTTTTTAGTGTCCCTATAAGATTAGAGAGTATCCTAAATTTGTGTTTGTTTCCGACCCAGTACGACAAATTGGCATAAAGGTCAGTTAGGAACAGAGTAAAAATTAATTAGATCAGGTTTGTAAATAGTATTTGCATAAAAAAGATGAGCTAGAAACCTTAGTACTTAGTACCTGTGTGAAGTACTAAGCATGTGTTAGCACTAAACATTACTTAAGTACAGAGGAGTTCACAAAAGCAGTAGCATGACGGTAGGTATAAAATGAACTAATTGATCTATCGAGGAGGAGTGAGAGGAGTGAGGTGGGGGGTTTTCTGGTGTTAATTTTGTCTTTGTTTGTAAACAGATGCAATCATTGCTGAACTCCACCAGCAAGCGTTGTCCATAGGCAAAGGTGTAGCACCAGATTTCAGGATAAACTGGGACTCCATTCCAGGCTTGTAAAAAACCCATCCCACAATTCTCGAGATATATGTTTTAAAAAACACCTAGGATCAAGCTGTGTGCAAGCTATAGTGAGGAATATCACTATTTTGACATATTCTGTTATCCATGTTTTACAGATTGGGGGAACAGAGGCACAGAGGGTTCAGATGACTTGCGTAAACTTCTACAAGAAGCCTGCTGGCAGCACTGGAAACTTGAGCCCACATATCTCAAGCCCTACTCCAATGAAGGGCATTTGGGTGATAGTGAGAATCAACAGGGAAGCTTCTAACAGCTCTAAAACCTCTGCAGCTCATTCAAGATTTTCTCTGAAATCCCAGTGTCCCCAGGGTGGAGGACAGGGTCAGAACAGTAAAACTACTTCCTTAGAACACAGCTCCATTCTACTTTGTGTAATCCCCTTGCATAATCTGGCAAATCATGGGTCTTATCTTGTCATTCAACCTCCATTCTAGATCAAAGATGATATTAAAAGACAATAAAACAGCACTTCAAAGGAATGAAGGTAAGATCTTGCACATGTATACAGTGTTTTGTATCTGTGAAACAGTACAGAAATTAATTTGACCTTCTTTACCGTGCTATGATATTTCTTCTATTCTCTACAATCAGTTTTTCAGACCCAGTGAACAAAACACTTCTCTTCGTTTGGTGGGAAAATTCACAATAATGACATCTATGTTCTTAAAATTCCAAAGTGAGTTTTACAAAGAGACTGTGAGAGATTTTCTTTGCAGAGTATTGTTCCATCAGAAGATGCAGATAAAAACTAGTGGTAGTGTTTTGGCTAAAAATGTTGCCTTGCTTGAATTATCCAATGAAAGTTAGGTAGTTTCCTTAGAGAAAACAAGAAGGCATCCTGCCATGTTCCTAGCCTTTCTCAAAGTCTGTCCAATGACCTGCTGCCTCATGGGAAGGTGCATCTTTGGAGCAGGGGTTTACAAGGATCCTGTCTGCCTCTTGCCCAGCAAGGATTCTAGTCTAAAGGAGTTTTCTGAAGGGAAAAGCTGATGGGTTCCCATGCCAAAGTAACATGGAGCAGAGCTGTCTGGTTTACTAGGAGCATGGGGAGCCTCATCTTATTTATTTGGAAAAGCTATGCCCATCATAGACATTTTCTTAATTTCTAGCCTCAAGGAATATACTAAGAAAATTTGAGAGAGTCCTTGCCATGTGATGTGCAGCCAGTTCATCTGACAATCTTGGTAACTGCACCAGAGCTACCATATTTTGGAGTACCATGTAAAAAATTGACCCTTGCTCTGTACAAAGAAGCAACAATAAACAATGTTTCACTACAGTGGATGCTCAGACATCACTAAAAAAAATATTTAAAAAATGGGAAGACAGTGGAGAGAGATAAAATGTTATATGAGATGTGGGCAGTGGGGGAGGTTGTGGTGTTAGTGAACTCCAGCACAATCTCCCAAAATGGAAAAAAAAGTGCTCAGAAAGGGGAGGTAGAACAGCGTGCTAGAGGAATATGCAAAACTGTGGTTATTAGTGACCTGCCAAGTTAATGAGACACATGCTGGAAAGGCAGGAGGAACTTCTCCAGAAAAAAAACTCTGTGGAACTAGACCATCAAGTAAGGACTAGCCAATATCACACATTTTCAGAACACTCTGCATGTAAGCTATGTATATAATTGATGTGTAAGGATTTCAGCCCTGCATTCTCTCTATTTGTTATAGACATAGAATATAGGGTTATAGACATAGAATAGCTGGTTATTGAAACTAATGTTAAGCTATTTTCACACCACTGAAATAGCCAACATGTCAGATAACTCATGTATAATTCTGTGCTTTGCTGAGTGATGATAGCCTTTAAGTTTCAATCAACATACTACCTGGCATTGACATATTGCTGAATTCTTAAAAAATGAACTCTGAAACTGGCAGAACTTGGCTTAGATTGTGCATTCTTAGCAGGTATGATGTCCAGGTTTTGTATTTGTGCAGTGGCTAGCACAAGCAGGGCCTGGTCCAACAATTTTAGAACTATATGTCAGTGAGAAAAGTCTGGTACTTACAAAAATCTTCCCGATAAGCATTTCTCATCTTTATGATTCTTACAGTGAGCAGGCAGTAAGGTGACATTTCTTTATGCTGAAAAATAACAAAAATGTGCATAAGCTTTAAAGGTTGGAATATATTTATTTATTTTAATGACAATCAAACATTGAAAGGAACCCAGGTTCTCCTGAAGGCATCTCTTCCAGTGCACATTACAGCAGAAATATTATCAACAACAAAATGCACTTTCTCCTCCTACTTAATCAGTCACTAAAGTCTACAGTCACCTAAGCATACAGCAGAAAGTGGAGAAGGAAAAGGTAAATCGGAAAGTGGAGACAGAGGGTAAGTATAGCTGAGAAAGTTCAGTTAGCCAGCTCCCTCACATCATCCAAGATACAAGTGGCCACTTGTATCCAACATGACAACACACAATTCAGTGAATCCACAGATCAAAGATACTCTGATTTTCATTGATTACTGACCAGCCTGTGTTGTACAGAAGGCCTGCATAAAAGTTCCTGCTTTTAACGGAATTCTTGGATGAGTGGAAGAAAAAATATAAGAGGGACCTTTTCTTGTTTGTTTTCAAAAGGTAGAATAAGCATCATGATTGTGGTATGGGATGTCTAAGGATGAGTTCTTACTCCCTAGAAGATGTCTCATGCAGCCAGTGCAATACAGAGTGTCTGAAAAATACTCACAGTTTGCTTAATGTGAGCAGAAGTTTTCCTTACCGGATGTGGGTATCTGAATGATAGATATGTGGAGCAGTATAACAAAATGCACGGTTTTGACTATAATCCATCTCAAAGAAGGAAATCTCCAATTTCCTGCAGAAGATGTCAGGCCTGACCAGCTGGGTCTGTAAAAGTTGTGCCAGACATATGTGCTGTAGAGGGTTTACATCTTTAGAGAATATATCCATCACTCTGCATCCATAATTAATGTATCAGCAGCAGGATGCAGAAAATGGGCAAAGTTTTATGCATTTGGAGCACACGTGGCTATCTGAAGTCCCTGATTGTGGGAACAGTTTCAGAAAAATAGTTAAAATAGTTTAGTCAATTAGTCAAAAAAGTTTACAGAAAGGAAAGAGGGTTGCACCACACTTGTACGCAACAGACTGAGTGAAAAGGATAAATCAGAACTGGTAGGGCATCATAGCTTGGGAACAGAAACAGAAGAAAAGGAGAGATTTTTAGAAAGGACTGTATTGAGTAGTAAATTCAGTGTCCCCAGCTGATGTGTAGTTATAATAGAAACAGTTCATTAGATAGTTGGGGTAACACAGTAAGACTGCAGTGAATGTCACAGAGAACGATGCTCTGCACGAAAAAGAAAATACCATTTTAAAGTTTTTCAAATCCCCAGGCCTGACCATTATCATTACATAAGAGCATTTAATTGCATACGAAGATGTCATCAGCAGATTCTGAACTGGTACCTCCAATAAGAAGATAAGATATAAATATGATAAAATTTATTTTTTTAAAGTGACCTTTAGAGAGAGAAATAGGTTCCTGAATTACAGTGATTTTTAAGAACCTCTGAGTAAACTGATATAAATTCTTAGTAGTTTCACTTGACAAAAGAAAAGGGGAAAGAAAAAGGAGGAGGAAAGAGGAAAAATGTCATTGTGAAAGCTAACGGCCAAAAATTTGAAAAAACTATCTGAAGTGAAATGGGAGGAGTGCTGGAGGAAGATGATACTACCTATTTTCTGAGAAACTTCAATTGAAAGAACAGGGAGAAACTCTTACGTGAAGTAAGAGCAAGTGACATATTCACAGGTGCTGCTACTGCGACAGAAAGTCAAAGACTGCCACAAAGGTCAAAGTATAGGAAACCAGTGGGACAAGACAGTACATCAGCTGAAGTGTGTAAAGCAGTAGACCATACGGAATTCATGACGACAAAATTTAGCTTAATCTTCTGAACTGTCTCCATCTCTCTGAAGGTAAAGAACATGAAGGTAATAAAAGGAATTTGCAAAAAATACAGTAATTGTCAAGCTCTGAAATTATCTGATGAAAAGGCAAGAATGAATTTGAGAAAATGCTGAGTAACTCAATGGTGGACTAGATAAAAATTAACCAATATCTTAAATAATCATAAAGCTCTGTGCATGAACTCTATAATCAAAAATCATAATTTCAAAATATTTTTGATAAATTGGTTAATCAAAATTATAGTACTTTTTGCTGTGAGGTACAGAAGCACACCCAAAACAACAAGATGTCCAGTCAGTGCTGAATAAACACATTATTTTGATTAGGCTACAAGGAGTAGAGATATATTTGCGTTTTACTGAGCTTCTAGGTCTACACTAGAATAAAGTAGAAAACTAACAGCCATTGCATAAAGTCTGAGGTAGGGTGCGGAATATTTATATTTTATTTAAAACTGTTTGTACTAAACTAGGGAGGTAAGATCTCTGCATTATTGGGATCTCGGCTGAGCCACCTCCAAACTGTTGGTTAGCTATGATTATAGCCCACCCCTTTTCATCAGAAGGGAATACCTCTATGCCTGCTTAACTGATTCTGTTGTTTTGTTTTTTTTTTTTTTTTTTGAAAAGAACCTAAAAATTCATTAGGCTTGTATTTTTATTTCTATGATTTTTTTCAAAAGTAGATCTCAAAAAAAACCACACAAAAACTGCAGCAGAAGTATTTTAGGAGACAAAGGACAGAGTGAAAGGAATTGCATTCAGTATTCATGTTCTCTTAGCCTTATTTAGCGAAAGCTTGCGGCATCATTCTGTCAACTAACATTTTGGAACGTATATTTTTAAGAGTGTCAGGGACTCATATATAAACTACCGTGACTTTTTAAGAAGTAGATGACAGAAGTAGAAACAAGCATGGACTCTGTGAGGATGCATCTACATGAAGCATCAGTCACACGCTCATTCCTGAGTGCCATGATCACACTTCATTGCAGTGGACTGGAACAGAGATTCTGGGAAGAATGCTTCAGAAAGACATTATATTTTGCATGCAAATAAAGGCAAACTGATAAGAGATCTACAGCCTGTGGGAGGGCTATGTTAGAAAAAAAAAAAAAACACACACAACATACACTGTTGTTGAGAACAATAAGATACTACCTGGATCACATAGCGTCAAAGACGATGCAAGGATTCGGACACCATGGTTTGCATGGAATTGTGCTGAGAACCTGAACGTCGATGTGCAGGGTCACATGGAGATGGCTTAGTGTAAAGGGAAGGAATTAATTTAAATTTTAAGAGCTTACTAAGGGAATGGATAGTGCACAGTATGAGATCATCTACAATGTAGAGATTAGAAATTGATTTGATGAAGGAGAATTACTTCTCACCTCCAAGAGGAGAGTTCAGAGGGGGTGCTGACTCAGAGAAAAGCCAATGAGCTCTGTATAACACACTGTGTACCCCGAGGCAGGCAGCCCCCGTCACAGAAAATCTCAGAGGGCTGGCTGAGAAATCTGAGTACTATGAGGTGACAACATATGAGATACGTCAGCTGGAGGATACCCAGCAAATAATCATGGAACAAACACCATGAGAGAGATCAAAAAAAATTTCAAGGAATTAGCAAGAGAGGTAAAAAAATAGCAATATGAACCTGGAAGGTGCATTCAGTAAGAATGTTTGGTCATAAAGAACAAGCAGCTGAGCAAGTGAAGGGGAGACTAAGCTTCCCTCCTCCTGACTCTGTTCATTTAGTGAGCATAATTTTTCAGCAAAATTCCTCCCAGTGTTAGCCTGCCCACCAAAATAATGGTTACTCTAAATTTAAAGGAATAATGAAAATATTAGTCTTATCTCTATGTTCTTAGCATTTCTACCAGTTAAAAGAGCATTTTCATAGCACTCAGAACCAGTCTGTAACCCGATCTGCTTTTGCTTTCTCTCAGTACTTAGAAGGTCATATCCCTCAAACCGAGGTCCTTCAGAAAAAAGATAAACAAACATACACAAAAAGCCCCCACAGTTCTAGAACGCGTTTCCGTCCTCTCTCTTTAGGGCATTAGAGGAGCACTATTCAATGATAGTTCCTCCTCATCATAATCTGAGGCAGCAATGCCTTTGAAGAGGACTGCCAGCTCTGTATTAAGCAAATCTCTGAGACAAATGAAAGAGAGACCTATCCTCTTTAGAGAGGGCAGTTAAGAAAAAAACTGCTCCATACAGTACTTTCCTGCCAGCCAAATGCCAGACGTGAAAGCCACTCCAGAAAATTCCATGAGCAAAATAACATCTTATAACTGAAGCTCAAGTCCCTGGCGTCACCAATGCAAATCACATAACTAATCCTCTTTTTCCTCTAGGGTCGTCACTTCTTTACAATAACACCTTGAGCAAAGCGAAAAAGCTAACAAATTAAAAAGCAAAAATGTGTTGCCGCTGATGATCATCATGTTTTACATTAAAAGAAACATTGATTCAGGGAGTTAGTAATGTAATTAACTATTCACAAGAGATAATTATCATAAAAAGCTTTTTTCAGCAGAACATTTGCATTCCTTATCGGGTCAGGAACAATTCCTGGTACCTTAAAAGAAGAAAATGTTATCAAAACATGAGGATCCAGAGTACATGATGTTTCTTCCACAGATGGGCAAAGCCCTGGAGAGTACGGTTTGTTTTTGCAGTCCTCTCTAACAGTGAGATAAATCTGTATACCTTGAACCTTTAAACCCATCCCAACAATGGCGGTGTGACTGGCAGACTGAGTAGCCTTCTTTAAAGGCTCATTTTTACCCCTGCAAATTGTGAGCCTGCGTATCCCTGTTCAAGTCCAGGTACTTTTTTAAGAGGGAAGGGTGACCGGTAGTTTGGTCCTAGTGTCAGGACTTTCTCTAGTTTTGCAGCAAACCGTTAAGGGTGAGATGTGCTCTCTACTGCTTACGTAAGGTCAAAGCTGATGGAGCTCCTGCTAGTGCTCCCTTGGTTTCTGATTTCCTGTCCAGCAAAATACCTTGATGAGCAAACCGCTCACTGTTAATGCTGCTAATCTTGAGATTATGCTTGCCAGTTTCTTGCTCTTTGCATTACTGTACACAAATGTTCAATACACTCACAGCTGATGAGCTAATGGTTAGTTTTTTTAAGCTGATAATTTATTGAGGAAAAATGACAGTTTTGTGCATATATGTAAATGACAAATTATACTGTAGGAGTCTGAGAAACGCAATGCACTAGCAAATAACATCCAGTGATAGGTTTACTAGATTTATTGTAATTATAGGCAGACTTACTCACAACCATTTATGATATTTTAGTATGTTACTTTTTTCCTGTATTCAAGTCTAACCTGCTAAAAGGCAAACTGTCAACTCAGGACTCGCAGAGACAGCTAGAGAGATGCTCAGTTGAAACTCTCATCCATTTTAAAATCTGAAGGAGGTTTCACAATGTTGAGGCATTGTCTGAAAATAAAGTAATAAGGGATATTTGGCTTTCCACTGTAGACAGTTAAGACAGCTATTACTATTTTAGAGTCAAATTCCATGCAGGAGCCTCTGGGCACATTTTTGTAACACTAACCCAGTAACTATTTAGTTTATCATATAGTTATGCAAAATCCTCTTAGAAATCGGACTGAAGCAAATATTCAAGCAGTGGCATTAAGGAAAGCTTTGCACCTGCCTATGCATTCCGGGCCTTGGACTCAAGAGCTGCTATAAGCATTTTATCCTTTATAACACCTCTCTACTAATGATTATCCTCCTGTTGCAGATGACAAGCCATGACAAGCAAAAATCAAGTGGATTGCTCAAAGCTGCCCAAGAAATCTGGTGCCAGTAAGAGGCAGAAATTGGCCAGCTCACACAAGCCTATGCCTTTAATACCACTTTTCTGCCAGACTTCATTACACAAGAGAGAAGGCAGATGTTCAAAAGCCAGGAGGCAAATAAAGGATGACTGAGAACGTCTTGGCTGTTAAACATTTGGGGATAGCCAGGCAGAACTTCTGGATGTTGATTTGATAAGGAAAAAGTTAGGACAAGAATGAAGAATTAAAGTTGTGGAAAGAGTCCCATATCCTCATATCCGGGCACTTATAACCACACAGTTTTTTTATATCACTTTACATATATTCAAAAGCATATGCTGGATTCTAACAATGTTTATATACATATAGCCGCACTGATGGTAAAGAAGTCCTGGATGTTTTTAGCCATAGATGTTTTAAAGCAAAAAACAAATTCTGTATGGATATTGTAAATGACTACAGAAACAATATTGGGCCCTTACACTCCCTGGCAGGTGCTTTTCCTGCTCGAGCCCTTTCTGACACTTACACAGAAAGAGCAAATTTTGAACACCTAAATGCCATATCACCACTGGTTATGCTACCTCTCCATTTACATCAAATTTTATACCCCACTGATAATTTGTCACCATTTATCTGCTCCAATTTCCACCTGTAGGAGCTATTAGGCGCTTGTACTATTAACAAGAATGTTTTCTATCATTTTGACAAGTTTGTGATGCAAATAAAGAAACAAAGTAGTTTGTCATTTTCTATAGTTTTCAAACACTTATAACAAATATGAAATTAAGTATTGAGTTCTCCTGTGAGCTAGAGACACCTGAATCACATCCCATTTAAGATATCATTAAATATAAGTTAGCTTTTTGCTTATAATGATCCAATTTTACTTTAAGGTAGCTTGTCAGAAAGTACAGCCAGTTGCAAGCTAACCAAGAGTAGAGGGAAAATTCATCACTGACACAACTGGTACATGTTAGACACAAATACAGCTCTGTCGCAAGCCCTGCAAAGTCTACTAGAGTGGTTCTCCCTTTGTTGTGATGACTCATGCAGTGAGGAAAATGGGCATGTATTCTGGAAACTGGCATTCGTGACTAAAACCCAGAGGATCACCAACAGCCACAGTCCAACTAGCTGACAGTGGCAACATTCTCCATTCATGCTGAGCTAAAACTCCATTGAAGTCAATTGAGATGGACAATATTAGAAGAAGGCCAAAATCAGTCTCTTTTTAACAGTAAATAGAGTACATTTGCCCCAAGGATTTACTCTAAGTAATAAACCCATGAAGATAATACACTTTGTGTAAATAGACAAAGGAATGGAATAAAATAATGGAATACAGATGTTTCACCTAAAGAGAATTTTCATCTGTGAAATGTTGCTCCTATTTCTAAATGAGCACATGAATGTTTGAAAATAATCAAATTTGGGAAGAAGCTTCTGCCCTTCTCAAAAGATATGCCATTACTGTTTTAGTTCCCGTGGTACCTTAGCATTAACACTGTGCTGTTCGACATACTGGCTCATCCATTTTCTTTCTTTATTTTCCAAGGAGCTTGTCTCGCTGCTTGAATCCTGTTGAGGTAGGGAAGACAAAGGATGAAAAGGAGAGCATGAGTTTTTCCGTTGTATTTTATGTCCCTAATTGCAAAAATCTTATTCCAACTTCTCAACGTGGAGGTGCTCCTCAAGAACTACTGTGATACTGATAGTGTGCTGAGTACCTGGGCAATTTGCACTCCCTCATTGCTTATATCAGCAAATTGGGAGATAAAATGAACATGGCTGAAAAGCGACAGCTGTTTCTATGCAATATAAATAGATATTGACTCCAGGTCCCCGTTTCTGCAGATAGCCAATGAAGGACAACTCTTTTCTTGTAGATTTATGTCCTACAGATAAAGGAGACAAATCTGAATCAAATTCTCAGAGAATCCTGCCAGGTTTGTTCTATTTTCCACTTACCTGGTGGAAGGCAGCTGCTGATGCCATTGAGATTGCTGCTGCATTAGAAGCAGATGCTACAGAGGACACCTGAATATGAGGTTCCACAGTTCCCAGTGCCTCCTGAAACATACTTGCAGACTTGCAGAGTGTCAGAAGCTGCTGAACAGGTGTTTTATTGCACTGAGTCAGAGCTCCACCCCTCTGGGATTTCTGAAACAGGAAAATTTACCACCCACTTTACTTGTCCTAAGAACAAGTCTGTTGCAAGGTGGGAACATTCATTTGCAGCTCTTGTGACTGAGCAGAGCCTGCCAAGAGACCAAACCATTTCCACCCAGGGGACTGCAGAAATGTAAAAAAGGTGGTAATCTATTTGATGATCTGGTAGACATTAAGTAGTAAACTGTAGATTACCATTATGAAGGTAACACTATGAAGAGGACAGAGTTTGTCATAATGTTAAAGTGACTTACCCTTTAGACTACCTGTATTTCCATCAAAAAAAGGTCTTTAAACACAGTACTTGTTCCCCACTTCTTCCTTACTCCTTCCACATTTCCATTCTCTTACCTCTCTGCTACCCAGCAGAGGTTTCTCATTCCCTCCAGCATGGAAGAGAGAAGCTAAGTGGGACACAAGCTTTACAGGGGAGTGGGGAGATCCAGGAAGTCTGTGATCTGATGGTTCGGAGCCGAGGTGCAGCCTTGGAGAGGTATACAACTACAGATGGTCTAAACAATGTTTGAAGAGGAGACGATATGCTTAGGGAGAATGTGGGAAAATACTATCCTTCCTGAGGACATGAATGCTAGAAAGGCTTAAGGAAAGGAAAAGAAAAAAAAAGGCGGGGATCACTAGGAAGGAGGATGTTCAAGTATGAAGACATAAACAATTTTCCTGAAGAAATATATTTCCACGGAAAAATGCTGTTTTGTCATGATTCGTGTACATGTGTTGTTTTTATGATATTCTGCTTTAAAATACATGAAAGGAGGAAGAAATTTGATAAGCAACGTTTTTGTTTCTCCTGAAATGTAATGTATTACTTTTCCATTTGAAATATCTTGTTTATTTCTTGTTTTTAAGTTTAATAGACTCTACATTTTAACATATTTAAATCAGATTCAAATATTTCACCTTGAAAAATTGTGAAACATTTCAACAAACTAAAACAGTTTCATCTTTCAGGAAATCTAGATTTTTCATTTTTATTTTGCACCAATTCAGACCTGTCATTTTGTTATGCAAAAAAATTTCAGACTCCTGCGCAACTTTATTTAAATCAGCAACTGGGGGGGTATTTCTAGCAGTGTAACAGAATTCAATGGGCTGCACCTGCTCATTTTATGAACCTTCTGTGTTGTGAAGATCTGCATGTGTCTGGCAGACCTCTAGGAGGCTCAGTGATTAAATTTGCTAATCCATTATGCAAACATCATTAGGCACGCACACATCTGCATTGAAAATCCTCCCAAATGATTAGAAGTAATGCTTATGAAAGGACTTGAGACTAATAGAATGACAAAGCATGATGCTTCCTATTGGAAACCTGCGTAAGTATGAAATCACAGTCACTCTGACTGGTGGTGGGTGTTGTAAAAAACACAACAACAACAAAAAAAAGTTGATTGACGTGACTAAACACAAACCTAGTCACTTCCAGCACTCCAGCTTGTTACATACATTTCTTATATACACAAAGGAATTAAGACAAAAAGGTGGTGTTACAAGGAGAACAAGTTAAGACAGTTTGATCATCTTGCCTGCAATATTCCATAACTGCAAAAGCTTAATTTCTTATGTTTAATTTTATATCTACATTTTCTATATCTGTTTTTATTAAATAATCACCATTTCCTTCTCATACTATGCAAGGTAAAAGTTGGCTAGGAAATCCCATTCTCATCTTCATCATGTCAAAGCTTATTGATGGAATAGAAACTGCTTAACTGAAATCAGAATTAGATAAACTACAGCACTAAGCAAAGGATAGTCAGAATCTCCTGCATGGAAGCTTTCCAGAGCAGTGGTCACAAGCCTCTTCCAGACCCCCTGACCAATGCTTTGCTTAGCACGTTTATGTGTTTCTAAAAAAATTTTTTTTGCTTTTTTTTCCTGTAAAAATGATGACCAGAGACAGTTTAGAGAAAAGCATTTGTATATAAAAAAAGCACCCACATTTTCTGTTTATTCTGCTATAGCTTATCTGTATTCTTGATTTAAGCATATAGAAGTGCAGTATCACAATGGAGGAAACAGAAGGTTAGCTACAATTTCATTATAATTGTACCCACAAAGGTTTTTAGCTGAAGGTCTTGTTTCTACAATACATGGAAGTTAATGGGTGTGAGGCTTTTTCACGAGAGCTGGTTTTCATTTACACACGTCATATCGCACCTTTGGTTTTAAGACAAAAGGAAATGAGGGGGGAGAAAAATTCCAGCGTCCCTCAAGAATGTGACTAAGAGCTTCTTGCTGCCTAACAACTAACTCTTCTTTCCTGACTCAAGCCTTCACAATATGAAATACCTGTTCTTTAAGGTCAAGTTAAATGCACACAGGTGTACCTTTGACTCAAAGCTGGCACTTTCCTAAATTAGTTCAAAGTTCAAATTCATTTGCAATATGAAGGACCATTCCTTTTGAGGCAAACATGGTCTTTTCACAAGACAGGCACTGATGATAAGCTTGATGTTACCTAAATTTAGTCATCAAAAAGTTAGACTTAGTCTAAGCTGGTTATCTATATTCCCTCTGTATTTAACAGAGGAAGAAAGGAGACATGGCAATGCCAGGTAGTGACTATGCCCATCTATATTAAATTCTTCTCTCTCTTCTTTGACTGTAGAGGAAGCCAAAATGTCCAGCTCATACTGGACACTTAACTTTTGAATAGCTAAAGGTAGGTGAGATGAATCCCACCCTGAGTAATCAGTATATCCTCTTTAATCACTTATTTCCACAGTTACTGATACTGAGGGAACCTGACCTTGAGGAACTTGGTTGTGTTGTTAACACATGATTCACAGTGTCCCAACGTGAAGCTGCAAAACACCCTTGGGCAAAATTCTATTAGCATATAAATGAAAAAACTCTCTCAGATTCATTCAAATAACAAATAGAAGATTTTTTTGATATCCAGGTTGGCAGAGAATGTAAAATGCAATGTTATAAAAATACCAATAAGTTTCCTGAGTACAAACTTCCATATTTCAGTTTTGGATAGCCTAAGGCCCCTGTGGTCATGAAACGAACACCTTACCTCAGGACTACTGTGGTTCCCAGAAGCCCTCCCTGCCTCTCATTTCAGGAACAGCTCGGCTGCTAATAAAGCGAAGGATGAGCAGTGACAGTTCATGGCCAGGTGTATTAGGGCATGAACATCAAGTTCAGTTTTCCATGGTACCCCAGGCTGCAAGCTATGGAAGTTCAGCAGCTGCTTCGTGAGCATCGGAGACCTGTTAGGGCAAATGGTGCAAATGTCTAAGAGAAAGACAGAGAGGAGAGATGTGCTTCAGCTATCCAAAGGTAACTCACTCCGTACTTCTGGGTCAGAGCCCTGGGGGTCAGGTGATACATTTAGTGCAGCTCAAGGAGAAAAATTATGCCACACCACCCTTAGATATCCACACGCATGGCAATTTTGGGGTCTCTCAGTGAAGTGGTCAGCTACTGGAAAGGTGAAAATGTAAAACAGCCAAAGTTGCTCTGCCGTGAACTGACTGTCATTTCATACGTGACATTTTTTTTCTTTTTCCTGTCTAGTCTGTTGGGTCTAAGATTACAGTCAAAAAGATCTGAGACTATAATCAGTGACTGAGCTAAGCTAATTTTAATCTTATTGCCCTAACACATGGATACGATCGGAGATAATTACTCAAAGATTTATTGCAGTGACAGTTAAGAGAAAATAAACAATCAAAACTAGATTACATGTTTTCTTCTGGCCTTTTCTCAATTGTTCTCCTGGTAACCCTCTTCAGTCTCTTTCTGTGCCCTTTCCAGCTTCTCTGCAGCCTACGCACTCTCCTTTATGTCTCATCCTATATGCCCCTCATATCATGCCCTAGAAATGTCACAAGCTCTTCTTGCTTCAGTGCATCTTCTCTTAAGATTTCCCAGATAACCTTTCCAGCTTTCCTAAAAGGATCACTTTTTACTCCTGATAGCTGATGATTATCTCTACTAGGAACAGCCATCTTCTGCTCCCCAGGCATACAGGAAAATGCAACTATCTTAATTCTTAGCACTATAAAGCTTCTAAAAGTAATAATATATGGTGGCCTATCTGAATAAAAGCAGAAATGTTCAAGTTCATATCAGAAATTCAGAGATCATAGCAACCTCTTTGAAAGCAATGCCAAGTATCATTCACAAGAATCATGCACTAATACACAGCTGCAATGCAACTTTGCCTGATCAGCATCATACAACTGAAGTTTATTCCTCCTGCTGATGACTCATATACCCTTTATTTTAAAAAGATAACCAGATTGGTCCTTATGAGAAAGAAACATTCAAACATGAATAAACTAGAAAAGAAAAATCTAAATGGCTTGTGAAAATTAGGACAATAAAGTTAGATCAGCAGAAAGAAGGGGGTTTCCGGCCACCAGGAGTATTATCTAGCTTTTAGGAGTGCTCTGTACGCTCCTCCCTGTTGTGATTATGGGGTATAGCTATTTCTTGTTATCCATCTACAAACTTTTCCCAATCCCAGAGAAAACCCAAACTCACAAATATTCCATAAGCAGTCCAAGTGATACCTGGACAAATACCAACAGTAAATCAGATCTACAAACTCCTGCAGTATAGAAAGTCTGGTTATTCTGATGGAGAAAATAACCTCTATTCTGGTATATTTGACTAGGAGAAGACCTATGCAGTATTAAGTGCAATACTTGTTATTCCTGAGTTAATATATACAGTTCTTAAATTGATATTTTTTCTTTACAAGGCATGCCCTAAATGGGATCCTCGTTCTTGCCATAAAATCTGACGCTGTATTCTCTCATCAAATAGTAAAAGGGGTTGGAACTGCTAAAGCAACATATCCTGAAACAACTGGTTTCTAAACTTTTTCAACTATGGTAAATTAATAGTATGTTGGTATCTTAATATTCACTCAGTAGTGGGGAAGGCTCCAA